CCTGGGTCTGTGAAGTTCACAGCTTCTCCTCCGGTACCTAAGAGCTCTAAACCATCACAAAAAATAAACACTAAAAAATATTTTCTATACCTTAACTAGCTCCACATCTATTGCAGCAAGAAGCATGAAAATACCAACAATGGCAACAACCCTGCCCAACACAGACACTGTAAAGAACAGTGGTTGTCAAACTTTTGAAGCTGAGCCTCCTACTTAGTGTTATAATTTTTGGTTGTGTCCCCATCCTAACCTAGACAAAAACAGACATGCAAAAGTATGCTTCATAGCCTACTCATAAACCTAACTGAAACCTTAACACAATTTACTCAAATTACAAATGTACAGATACTTTATTGTGAAGGGTGGCCCTGTGTCTTGAGTGGACAGTTTTTTTAAAAAAACTGATAGTCTGAGGTTGTCCTCCACTTCCAGTCTCGGAAGGTCTTTCTTTAGCACTGCCAAAGCACAGAATCCATCCCAGAAGTCTACAAAACTCCACAAGTCCCTGAGTCTGATTCAGCTGGCCTAGTCCAACCACAGGTTCTTCTCTGCACAATAGACATACCCTAAAAGATTTTCAAAAATATACTTAGTAACAAAAATACCTGAAAAGTGACCTGGATTTCTGTGACCTTCTTCTGAAGCATCAATGAATTGAAATGTTGTAACATCTTACTCGAAGCCACAAACTTCAAAATGCCCTGACTGTTTCTCTCAATCAGGGACAAGGCTTTCTTGCAGTTTTCTTGGTATGCTACCAAATCCTGAAAGAAAGAAACAAACAATTCTGTTCTGGCCAGGAACAAAGGTAGGAAAACTTCAGGAAAAAACCCAAGAGGGGCACTTTTGACTTTTTGACCATAAGAAAGTGGAAGTGGTCAAGAGCAGTTTAAACAAGACATTACAGAGAATATTGTAGATCCTGAAAACCCTTTCTAGAGGTGCTGAGACAAAGCCCCATGCACAGGAATTCATTCCTGAACAGCTCACAGTATAGGATCTGTATGGGGAGTTTTACAAAATGCAGGGGTCTTTTCTGGCTGTGTGATTTTGTCATTTACTCTTGATTTAGGTGTTATTTATATCTATACCCATGGTATCAACTGCGAAACAGATGACCCATTTATGCGGTGAATAGATAAAAGAGTGATAGCTTTCCACAGCTTGCTAAAATGTTTACACACATGGTCCTTACCTTCTAGCAATCCAATTATTGGAATTTAAATGACAACAAATTGTTAGAGAAGCGAATCAGTGATTACAACAACATGAATAAGAAAAAAAAACCTATGAATTCTTAGAAGAGGAAAGCACAAGTGTGACCCTCTACTATTTAATGAACTAACTATTCCAGGATCTACTCAGCAGAAGTCAGCGGCTGCTATATATTCTCAGTTCCATGACTAGTAAATCCTTTTAGCAAAAATAAGCCATTTACTTCAATTATGATGTCAGAGCTATGGTAATCAAAAGGCCAGTGACTTTAGACTGATGAGTTCTCCTCAGTCTGCAACCCTGACACAAGTTTCATTTGGTGTTTGTGCTCAGACAGGGATAAGATTTGTTCAGAAAAGTGAGGGAGTTTAGATCAAGGCTGGATCTCACATGCACAGTCGAGCTTAGCAGCCCAATATTATTTTTCTATCAAAGACATAGCTACAAGTCAGTGGTGGAGCACAGGCCTCCCTGACTAACCTGTGGCTTACTTCTTTATAGTCATTGCCATTATAACACTTTCTAATTGTTCTTTCACATATTGCACGAACTCCATTATTTTCTTAACAACAGTATCTCCCTGTACTTGACTCTAATGCTACAGCCCTGGAACATTCCAGCCTTACATTAAAGATGTAAGAGGTCAACCTAAGATATTTTCTTTCAGATCCAATATGTCCTTCAAGGTAAATACCATTGTTGAACAGTGAATTCCTCTGAAAAGACACCGTGTCCTTGCAGGAAAGGCAGAAATTTAAGATTCCATTTCACTATTTCCGTCCCCCGCCCAAAGCTTCAAAGAAAACTCTTGTCAGACCTGTGGGAAACCTACCAATATCCATGGACACCGATGTGAGTTCCTACACATTCGCAAGGAAATCCTAATCTTCACTGATGCTGTGTGCAATTGTGTAAGGGCCTGAACTAGTTTCCTTTGAAATCAAAGGAAAGTCTCCCACTGATTTCAGTGGGAAATGAATCAGGACCCATATGAAGAGAAATCCACTTTAGGTTTGTGGCGAAGTTGGTGGGCAGAGCTGAACTGTAGAGATGGCAACTGTATTCCAAAGAAAGTGTTTAAATAATATTAAAGGAAGGTAAGGAAATGGCCCCTCAAATAAGAATTGCTCCTCAATTCTCGCCAATCCAGAGTCCTAACAATCTAATGTGTTGCATAAATGCACACAGAGGGCATCTTATATTTTCCACATAGGGTTTTGTGTTTTTTTTTTTAAACTTACCTGGTGGTTTTGCTTAAAAACATTAGGAGGTTGCATTTCAGGATCTCGGGCAGAAATTATTTCATTGACTTTCTCAAGAGACTCATAAAAATATGTAATTTGTTTTTCTAATTCTTCCAATGGAGACAACAATTGCTGAGCTTCGTAGAGTAGGACAGGACAATGCTCCTTAGTCTTTTGGTAACAAAGAAAAAAATCTCATTACAACAGAAAGTGAGTGAAATGCAACCGGTCCTTGTACATTGCTTTTCATAAGCCCATCCCTCTTTTAAAGGTAAATCGTTTTAAGACTTAATTCTTAAGCAAGAATTATCATTAATATCAAGTACTTCAAGATCTGATCTTAAAACAGTAAAAACTTCTTGCTACTTACATTCCATCCATAGCTATTTTAACATATGTGCACTAGATATCATTTGAACATTTGTGTGAGACATCTTGTATTCTCCTTTACATTATTTGATATCTTCTGGCTCGTGGTCTCTCTCCTGCATTTCTCTTCTTCCCCTTCCACCTCCCTCCTTTTCTCTTCCATTCTGTCCTTTTCAAACTCACTTTTTCTACATATACCTTCTTTTTTCCACTTCTTTTGTTTCTTATTTTTCATTCTCTACATTGTCTCTTGCTCAAACCTGCATCTCTTGCCCAGGAGTTTCACATATGTATGATCTGCAAGATCATCTCTCACATACTTTACCTCTTCTGTTCTCCATCACTGTCATTCATTGCTCCATCACTAGAGATTTTTAAGAGTGGGTTAGACAAAACACCTGTCAGGGAAGGTCTAGATGGTGCTTGGTTGTACCATGAGTGCAGGGGACTGCATTTGATGAACTTTCAAGGTTCCAGTTCTATAATTTTATGATCGCATCTCATTTAGTGAGGTGAATTTAAACTATTTTATTTGTTCAGATGATTATATTGACAACGGGTCTTTGAGTTTTGTGTCTCTATGCATCTGTGTTTTTGTTTGTATTGTTACACCTATATATTTCTCTGTAGACCCCAACAACAGAGTAAATTGGGTGGGATTCTTGACCATTTTTAATTGAACAAAAATGCTCACCCTCTCACTATGACACAGTGGGTGTGCTTTTTGGGACAGCCTGGCAGTTTAAAAGTAGTGCAAGAGGAATGATACAAGCTGAGGTTCCATGCTCAGGCTTAAGTTCCATGAGATGATAAAAGTAAGAAAGAGTATCTCATATATAATAAAACCATCTATTGAGCTCAGAAGTAGTGTTAATGACAGGAAGCTGCATAACACTCTCAGGGTATGTCTACACTACCACCCTAGTTCGAACTAGGGTGGTTAATGTAGTCATACGAACTTACAAATGAAGCCCGGGATTTGAATTTCCCGGGCTTCGTTTGCATATTGCCAGGCGCCGCCATTTTTAAATGTCTGCTACTGTGGACTCCGTGCCCGCGGCTACACGCGGCACGAACTAGGTAGTTCGGACTAGGCTTCCTATTCCGAACTACCTGTACGCCTCGTGGAACGAGGTGTACAGATAGTTCGGAATAGGAAGCCTAGTCCGAACTACCTAGTTCGTGCCGCGTGTATCCGCGGGCACGGAGTCCACACTAGCGGACATTTAAAAATGGCGGCACCCAGCAACATGCAAATGAAGCCCGGGAAATTCAAATCCCGGACTTCATTTGTAAGTTCGTATGACTACATTAACCACCCTAGTTCGAACTAGGGTGGTAGTGTAGACATACCCTCAGACTGTAAGGACAGGCATGACTAATATAGAACTTTTGGTGTGGAGAAGAACTCGCATACAAAAAGTGTGCTTTGGTCTATGGTACTGACAACCTGGCTGGAACTAGCACACAGTCTACATGAATACACCTGAAACATAATATTATATATAACATCAATGATTTTTCCCAAGTTCATGCATTAAACTGAGTTTGGTAGCTCCAATACTTCAGTTATACCAAAAACAAAAGAAATCACACACATCAACAAGCTAGTACAATAAGTTTCCTTTTTAAATAAATTGCCCATGCTCAGCAATGTCATTTTAGTACAGAATCATATGGACAAAACTAGGATTGTTTTAATGATGAAAAAACAAAATTCAAATTAGGAGGACTAAGATATGGCTTGCATTTTATCTAATCACCTTGGTTAGATAAAAGGGGAATGGTGTGGAGGGGGAGAAGAGATTTTTCACATAAATAGTTTAGGTTTTCGCTCACATCCTTTTGAAATAAAGAGGATTAACATCAGAATGTAGTTTTGGCTTTATAAAAACTCATTGTGCGAAACAAACCATAAGCAGCCAATATTAGGCCTGGTTCAGATATGGGTCCTATTTTACAGAGTCCCCTGAGTTTTGGGTTTGGTGGGTATTTCACTAAATGCTTCCTATATGGGCCCATCTTTAATCATAAGTCCAACAGTAAACATACTACACATCAGAAAAGGTATTCTAGGACCTTGCTTAGCTGTGCTTTGATCCCTGCCATAGTTGCAAGCATTTCATTGACTTCTTCTTGAGGAACTTCCTTTGTAACAAGCTGTGCTGTCCTTGTAATTATCTTGTACTGAGCTTCCATCACAGGCACCTTCTGTTTAATATCCTGCAACAAATATTTCAACAAGTACTGTTATGAATTCACATGGCACATCAGCTTGATCTCACAATAGTTGTAGGTGATAGATTCAACTCCTATGGACATCAATGGGATGTTTTCCATTGACTTCTGTGAGCATTGGACGAGGTGCAGAATGTATTACATATATGCTAAACAAAGGAGCTCATCTCCAAAGCTCTGTCTTAAAGTTCAACATTCAACTCATCTGATGTGTGAATATTTGAGTTCATAATATTTGAGTTCTTCTAGAAATGTCACTAACACAGTGCAATTATTTAGATTACCTAAAACACAAAATGCACCAGTGTAGCATAAAAGTGTTTATAATGGTTATGTAAATAAATAATCTTCCAGTCCTCTCCTAAAATTAAATAGTTAAATCATTCTCTCTTTGTGGAAAGTGGGGGGGAGGAGGCGAGAGAGAAGATACTCACCTCCAAACCTTGGACAAACATCTTGACATTTAGAAAGGCCACTTCCACAGGCACAGAAAATTTTCCATTAGCACAATCAGCAAAGGTTGACAAGGTAGCAACCCCATCCAAGTATTCCTTCCTTATTCTGTCAAGTTCATCTGCTCGAGCATACTATGAAAAATGGAAAATAAAAGCACAGAGAACATGTCAAAATAATCAGTGCTGCTGCTTAAAGGAAATTAGATTAGGAGTAACTGTTTAATTTTTCTTCTATTTATGTTCAGCATGATTTGCTATAATATTTTAAGTTAAGGGCCCAGTAAGTGGTTGATTGTTTTTCACTTTTAATATTGATAACTGATGAACATGGTTTTATTTTTGGAAAAACCTGTTTACATACTTCACCTCCACCCAAATGGCACTCACTTACAGATGTTAACATTTGTATCGACTACATGATTAGTCATTAAGGAAAAATGCTCTGTTCCTGTTCACGCTCGTCCAGGAAGTATTCTTACAGTGGTTCTGCAGTTTAAATGTAGAAGGAGCTGGGCGCAGCCTGGCTTCTATTGCATTTAAGCTGCAGAACCACAGCAGGGGTAGGTCTAGGACAGAGCTGGGACCACTGTGGCTTTGGCATTTTAAATGTAGTAAGAGCTGCTGAGGGGGTAGCTCGTGAACCCGGCACAAGCTGGGACTGAACAATCCCAGCTTGCTGCATGGCTTTTGTTCCAGGTGCAGCAGCTCCTGCTTATGGCAGTCCAGGCTGGTAGCCTCCCCTACTGCCCCTCTCCCCACTGCTGCCTGTGACAGAGGCAAGAGCATGGAGGGGGGGGCAGGCGGCACCAGGGAGATGGCATACAGAGGCAGCAAGGTGGGGAGAAACGAGTAGTTGAGTACTAGACTACTCACATCCCTAGCTCACTTCAGTTCCACCCAGAAAGAAAACCCAAACACATTTTCAAGTTTGGATCACTTTGAAAATTCCTCCTTTCTTTTCCTGGTTTCTGAAGTGGGCCTAACTCACCAACTCACACCTTCAGACCTATCAGAAGCCTTCCTTTTATCCAGCCTAAGCACTAACTTTCTCTCAAATAGTGATAGGAAAATGCAATTAGACTGTGAGGATTCTCAGTCGCTGAAACCCTCTGTGTCTCTGGGGATTTGGTTTAATGAAATGGCAAACGGGGTAGTCTCTCCTCTAAGCAGGGGTGGCCCGTGAGCCTAGGCAGACTAGACGGTCGCCTAGGGAGCCGCCAGCCTGGGCGCCCGATGATGATGTCACAGCCATTGATGGCCGTGCAGGCGAGGGCGCTAATTGCACCTTCCGCCTAGGGCGCCAGCTGCCGCAACCTGGCTCAGGCCACTGCTGTCTCTAAGGTCTGGTGCTATTCCCTTCACATTCTCTGCATTGTTGACAGCATTTGACTGTGGAGCTATTCACAGCAGGAAATATGAATGCATCAGCAACTGCAGTTTAACCGAGGGAGAGACAACCAAACAAAACTGGGGAGGCTGAGAGAACTTAGGACAGAGAATAAAGTCGCGGAATTAGTTGATGGCTGGGAGGAAAGAAGAACTCAGGAACTGTTAGAGGATACAAAATAGAATCATAGGATATTAGAACTGGAAGGGACCTTGAGAGGTCACCAAATCCAATCCCCTGCCCTCATGGCAGGACCAAGCACCTTCTAGATCATCCCTGATGGATTCTTATCTAATCTGCTCTTGAATATCTCCAGTAATGGAGATTCCACAACCTCCCTAGGCAATTTATTCCAGTGTTTAACCACACTGACAGTTAGGAAGTTTTTCATAATGTCCAAAATTATCTTCCCTTGCTGCAATTTACGCCCATTGCTTCTTGTCCTATCCTCAGAGGCCAAGGAGAACAATTTTTCTCCCACCTCCTTGTAACACCATTTTAGATACTTGAAAACTGCTATCATGTCCCCTGTCAGTCTTTTTTTTTTCCTAAATTAAACAAGCCTGATACTTTCAGTTGTTCCTCATAAGTCATGTTTTCTAGACCTTTAATCATTTTTGTTGCTCTTCTCTGGACCTTCTCCAATTTCTCCACATCTTTTCTTGAATTTGAACTTTTTCCTCATAAGTCATGTTTTCTAGACCTTTAATAATTTTTGTTGCTCTTCTCTGGACCTTCTCCAATTTCTCCACATCTTTTCTTGAATTTGAACTTCCAGAACTGGACACAATACTCCAACTGAGGCCTAATTAGTGCAGAGTAGAGCAAAAGAATGAATTCTCATGTCTTGCTCACAACAAGATTGGGGATTGTTAATCAGCCTAGAATCATGTTTGCTTTTTTTGCAATAGTGTCATGCTCTTGATTCATATTTAGCTTATGGTCCACTATGACTCCTGAATACCTTTCTGCAGTACACCCCCCTAGAGAGTCACTTCCTATTCTGTATATGTGAAACTGATTGTTCTTTCCTAAGTCGAGCACTTTGTATTTATTCTTATTAAACTTCATTCTATTTACCTCAGACTATTTCTCTACTTTATCCAGATCATTTTGAATTTTGACCCTTTTCTCCAAATCACTTGCAACCTCTCCTAGCTTTGTATCACCTGCAAACTTAACAAGCATACTCTCTATGCCATCATCTAAATTGTTGATGAAGATAATGAACAGAACCAGTCCCAAAAGAGACCCCTGAGGAACCCCACATGTTATGCCCTTCCAGCAATAACTACTCTCTGGGAATGGTTATCCAGCTAGTTATCAACAAACTAGGGAAATACTACCTAGGGGTATGTCTACACTACCCCGCTAGTTCGAACTAGCGGGGTAATGTAGGCATACCGCACTTGCAAATGAAGCCCGGGATTTGAATTTCCCATGCTTCATTTGCATAAGCGGGGAG